GGGCTGCCCCGGGGCCGAGGGGGGCAGGAAGGGGCTGCCCCGGGGCCGAGGGGTGCAAGGGGAGCCTGCCCCGGGGCCGAGGGGGGCAGGAAGGGGCTGCCCCGGGGCCGAGGGGTGCAAGGGGAGCCTGCCCCGGGGCCGAGGGGGGCAGGAAGGGGCTGCCCCGGGGCCGAGGGGGGCAGGAAAGGGCTGCCCTGGAGCCGGGGGAGGCTGCCCCGCGGCCTTGGGCCAGACAGGAGCGGGTCCCGGGTCTCCAGGAGCGGGCTGGGGACACCGGGCCCCCTGGCAGCGCCAGCCCCTGAGCCCCCGTCCCTCAGGCGAGCGGCTGTGCAGCGCGGAGGAGGCCACGGCTGGCAGCGGGACGTACACCCGCCATGGCTTCATCTTTTCCTCGCTGGCTGGCTGCCTGGAGAAGAGGAGCGAGGAGAGCGGGGTGAGCACGGCCATGGCGCACATCGCCCTTCCCCAGGGCACACAGCCCCTTCCTGGGTGAGGGAACCGGGCGGGCTCCGACGGTGCCCCCTGTGATCTGGTGCCAGGCCCTGCCCTGAGCTACCCCTCCTCTGCTGCCCCACAGCTGCCTGTCGTGTCGGTGGTGAGAGATGCCGAGTCCCAGCTCCTGCCCGACGTGGGGGCCGTGGTGACATGCAAGGTAGGGGGCTGGAGGGCACTGGGATCGATGGCAGCTCTCCCAGCCTTTCTGTTCTCTGCCCCGTGCTGACCTTTCTTCCCGTATGGGGTCTTCACACCTATGAGGGGCTTAAGAGGAGGCCACTGATACTTTCTGCACAACTCCCGGCAGGGCAGAGGTAGCCCAGTGGCTCCCTGGGGTCCCTCACTCACAAAGGAGCCATATTGGTGTGGGGGACACCTGCCTCTCCACATTCCCTACCCTTACTGCCTGCCCTGAGACTGAGGTGGGCCGACGGGGAGGTTTTCTTTGCTCTCCCTTCCAGAACTCTTTCTGGGGCAGGGTGTGGGGCGGGCAGCGCCAGGGGCGGCTCAGAGGAAGGGTGGCACAGAACAGGGATTAGTTTCCTTATGGTCCCGATGGTGGGAGAGGGACTGGGGTCACAGCAGGTCCTGCCCTTACGGCCTTCCTCCCTGCCTCTCCACATTCCCTACCCTTACTGCCTGCCCCGAGGCTGAGGTGGGCCGACGGGGAGGTTTTCTTTGCAGGAGCTCTGCCCCGAGCACCGGGCAGGCGTCCAGCGCGTCCTGGCGAGCGCCCAGGGGAGCTCCTGGAAGAGTCGCCTTCGCTCAGATCCGTCTCCCTTTTCAGGAGAGAAGACATTCGAGCCACGGAGAAAGATAAGGTCAGTGAGGCACCGCCGGTGACTCTGCTCCTGCAGCTGCCCCTGCTTTCTGCTGGTGGGGGGACACTGGTCCCACCGCTGACGAGCGCCCCGGCGCGCTGCCGCTTTTGCAGGTAGAAGTGTACAAGAGCTTCCGTCCCGGTGACATAGTCCTGGCCAAAGTCGTATCCTTTCCCCTGGTGCTGGGAGGGCTGGGGGTTTAGCTCAAGTCCCCTCCCTCCAGGACACTTTTCCCTTAACCCCCCCTCCGCCCAGATCTCGCTGGGGGACGCGCAGTCCAACTACCTGCTGAGCACGGCGGAGAACGAGCTGGGGGTGGTGGTGGCACGCAGCGAGGCAGGTAGGGCTCAGGGGGGGTCTGCTTCCTCCCTTTCCGTGGGGAGAAATGGGATTTCGGGAAGGGAGGGACCCCCCTGACGGGTGGTGTCCCCCAGGGGTGCAGATGGTGCCCATCAGCTGGTGTGAGATGCAGTGCCCACGGACACACACCAAGGACTTCCGTAAGGTGGCCCGCGTGCAGCCCCAGTTCCTCCAGACATAGCAGGGGGTCCTGTGGGGCGAGGGGCTGCTGGGGCTGGGGGGCCAGAGCAGCCCTGGGGCTCCAGCCTCCTCCTCCTCCTCCATGCGTGCAAGAGGCCGGAGCAGCCTGACAGGCCCTTTGCCAGCAGGATGGATTTTCTCTGTGGATAATAAAATATATTTTGAGAGCTGTGTGCTCCGCTGGGTTATAGCCCGGGGGGGTGGCCGGGGCTGCCCCCCAGGGTCTGGCTCCCATTGTGGGGCTGTGGGAGGGGGGAACGGTTTCCCCAGCGCTGCAGCTGGGAGGAAGCACGTGTTGGAAAGGGGAACATCACAGTGAGAGCAGCCCCCCAGAGCGCTGGGTTGTGGCTGGGTGGTGCTGGTTCCCCCACAGCTGCGGGGGAAGGCACGGCTCCCTGCACCGATAACCGGCTCCCTGCACTGATAACCAGTGCTCACCCGGCAGGGCAGAGGCAGCCCAGTGGCTCCCTAGGGTCCCTCGCTCACAAAGGAGCCATATTGGTGTGGGGGACACCTGCCTCTCCACATTCCCTACCCTTACTGCCTGCCCTGAGACTGAGGTGGGCCGACGGGGAGGTTTTCTTTGCTCTCCCTTCCAGAACTCTTTCTGGGGCAGGGTGTGGGGCGGGCAGCGCCAGGGGCGGCTCAGAGGAAGGGTGGCACAGAACAGGGATTAGTTTCCTTATGGTCCCAATGGTGGGAGAGGGACTGGGGTCACAGCAGGTCCTGCCCTTACGGCCTTCCTCGTGGGTCTTGAGTTGCACAAGTGTCATCTTGCTCGCCTGGCTCGCTGCCACCGCTCCTTTGGTGACAAGAAGGAGGATGCCGAGTGAGGCAGGAGCAAGCCCTGCCCTTTCCCTGCGGGGAGCGGGGAGCTGGGGTGTGAGCAGGGCCAGCAATGACCCCCTTTTCTCCCCCCCCGGGGCAGGTTTGCAGCATTAACTCCCGCTTTGCCAAGGTGCACATCCTGTACGTCGGCTCCACCCCACTGAAGTCCACCTTCCGGGGGACCATACGGTAGGGAGAGAGGGCTGGGCTCCCCACGGGTGCCCCATCCTGGAGGGTGGAGGGGGGG